ACAAAGCTTCGCCTTGGTGACATGATAATTTCGACTTTCTTTTCAAATGAAATCATGATTGGTCTGTAACTGTAAGCGGTTGAACATTTGCCAAACAAACTAGACATACCCCTGTCAATGTTAGAAATGTTTTGGGACAATACAAGCAAATCTGTTGAGATATTCAAACATACTATCAGTGTATGAAATACGCCAAAAATCCAGCCAGACATGAGGGCAGGTAACATTGAAGTTACCAGCCCATAATGGATTTAACCAGACCAAATTTGGTGAATTTACTCAGATGTAAAATTTTTACCAGACCATCGGACTGTCTAGCTGTAAATTTAGACCGCCCGTCAGAAATTTAGACCATCTCGGGCGGTCAGACGGGCCTTATTTCATACACTGATAATATGTCTGATATACCCACTGGCAGTTGTGTATTAGTTGTACTTTATACGTTTTGTAGTCAAATTATATATTTTAAAAAACTTGAAATGATGTTGGAGTTTTTTTTTAAAGTTCTGAGTAAGCATCAGTACAGTTACATTTTGAGATAACTATCTTGATATTTAAATTTGAGGTGAGGTGAGGTTAAATTGGGTTTACCGTCGTGCTTGAGAATATTTCGCTCATATGACGATGTGCATGCGTGTGTATGTGTATGTGCGGCTGCTTGTACTAGCCCAGACTTAAGCTGGTTTTATAGTGCTAGCCCACTGAGATACCATGCCGCAGTGAAGCATGAATACCCCACTCAGACACATTATACTGACTCCGAGCCGACCAGTCCTTGTTGTACCCATGAATGCCGAGCGCCAGGCAGGGACCAACAAGTACCATATATTAACATCTTTTGGTTTGACGCAGTCGGGATCGAACCCGTGACCTTCCGCTCTCCGGGCAGACGCTCTAACCATTACACCATGGAGGCGGGTATATTTAAATTTGATCATCAAACATGTATTATAAGATCATAGGTTTCCAGATGGCAGTGTTTACTTGCACTATAACAAGGCTGGTGGCTTCTCACAGGCACTGTACATGTACTTGATTGCTGGCTTGTGTTTACGATGATAATCGAGACAATTTATGTTCTAAGCAAGGCTGTAACGAGTCACTTGCATATTTGGTGAATCGAACCAGTAGCGCTTCATGAATTCAATTCGTTATTCGTGGTCACCAGAACCGAATATTAACAAATATTTACTATTTTTTAAGGGAGCATGTTTTACTTGAACCTTTATGTCCTTTCCAAAGTGAGATATGCAAGCAATGGAACATGTACTTAGAATCAGTTTGCAAATGTATTTTTGCCAAGACTGTATTGTTTTTATTGTTCATTATACCTATTACATACTTAAGAATTAATGTTGTGAGGTGTGATACATGATATGACAAATCAAAAGTCAACATGATACTCCATATTTAATATCATTCACTTACTACAACATTGTATTTGTGAATAATTATTCCAGTACTACTCCAATATTCATGAACAAATATCATATTCACCACATAGTCTGATGTTGCAGCCCTAGTTCTCTGGTCCGAAAATCCATAATACGATGATAAAGTCAGCTGAGAGGTGACGTTTCATGTGCTTTCCATACACAAATCATTATAAACATTTGCAAAACTGTATTATAAAAGCGTCTGTATTCCTAGATAAGTTCTTTATCCTCCTATGTTTTCAGGTCAGAGAATCCATAAACTGTTGTACAATAAGTCTTGAATGAATGAAGAATGAATGTTTGAGAAAATGTCCCCAAGTGAGCCCAGTATCTGATGGGTTGTGGAAGCAGCACTTCGAGCCCCAGAGAAGATGTGGGGAAGAAAGATGAGGAGGCAGAATTAGCACAACAAAGTCAACAGCACGGGAACTTCCAAACAACACCAACTAAACAAGTACCTCCTACAGCATCAGGTTAGATTTAACATCTGGGTTAGAACTGGTCTTCACTAACCCATGCTTGTCGAAAGAGGCAGCTAACGGGATTGGGTGGTCAGGCTCACTGACTTAGGCCAAAAATAAATGTTGTGGTTCCGATTTCCTACATTTCAGAACTAGGGTAGGTAGGTAGGGTTGTTTGTTTTTTTTGCAAAATATTTTTACATTACTGTGAATACTCATGTGTCAGAAAATAAATTTAATTTATTTTGTGGTGAGTAAAATTGTTAGGCTCGGTGGAAATATTTAGGGTCAGTCGGGAAATCGGAACCACAAGCTTTTTTTTTTTAGGCCTTAGTTGACACATGTCATTGGTTCTAAATTGCGTAGATTAATGCTCATGCTGTTGATCACTGGATTGTCTGGTCCAGATTCCATTACGTACAGACCGCCACCCTATAGCTGGAATATTGCTGAGTGCGGCATTAAACAACAAACCAACCAACCAACAAGGTGAGATTTGGATACTACTGACCAGTGAAGGCCCAGTTTTGAGCCGACTAATTACATCGGGTTGTTAGGCTCGCTGACTTGGTTGATGCTTGCTCCTAGTTCCCCTGTTGACTATTAATCTCTCGATTCACTGGATTGTCTGGTCCAGACTGGATAATGTATGGATCACTGTCATATAGCTGGAATATTGTAGACTGTAGCATTAAACAAACAAACAACAAGCCACTATGAATGAAAATATTATGTAACTGTGGTTTAAAAGATGCTGTATCAAGAAGATGAAAAAAGTACCAAAACTTTCACTTTTAAATTTTAATTTGTCCCCAAAATGATCTGCTACAGAAATGCAAAACACCAAACCTCGGCCCCTCCACACCCCATATATCACTGGTTCTTCCTAATGTTAATTTCACCATCCAGCTACAGCACTGTTAATGATAAACTGTCTGTAATCCCTCTCAAGAAGTATAAACCTTGCACTGTCACTTAATGTATACTGCAGGGGTGCTGGGGTAGCCTAATGGTTAAAGTGTTCGCTTGTCATGCCGAAGACCCAGGTTTGATTCCCCACATGGGTACAGTATGTGAAGCTCATATCTGGTGTCCCCCGCCATGATATTGCTGGAATATTGCTAAAAGCGGCGTAAAACCATACTCTCTCACTCACTCACTCACTACTGTATATTACCGAAAGTATTCAGGGTCTCAAGAAGTGAAAGACTTTACATATACACTCAGTATACTTCCAATAGGCTGAGTTAGTAAGATAAAAATGTCCTTCCTAAGAAATATAAGACTTACTTTGAGTTAACCATAAACTGCCAAGTATAATTTCTTAGCTATTGAATTCCATCGCATGATTTGTAAGACATACCCTTTTACTTACTATATATTTCCAAGTAGAGGTCAAGTTTCTAAGATCAAGGCATAACAGTGAGTGAGTGAGTATAGTTTTACACAGCTTTTAGCAATATTCCAGCAATATCATGCCGAGCAAAGCATAAGAGATGTAAATTATAAAATTGTTTTTCTGTGAAGCAATCCTGCTTCTTTTGTTACTGGGGTGGTAGGGTAGCCTAGTGGTTAAAGCGTTTGCCCTGTTAGATTTCCCTCCTGGGTATAATGTGTGAAGCCCATTTCTGTGTTTTGTGATATTGCTTGAATATTGCTAAATGTGGCGTAATATTGCTTCACTCACGTCTAAAAAAACCTATCACTCACTGTTCACATTACTGTGTAAAATGGTATCAGCTATCATGTTCAAGACTGGTTCCTTTGTATAATGGGGCACAATGTGTGAAACACATTTCTGGTGTTGCCCCCGCTGTGATATTGTTGGATTATTGCTAAAAGCGTCATGAAACCCAATTCACTCACTCACTCACTCACTCACTCTTTTGTTACTGTGATAGGCAATGACATAGATTAGCAGGTTTTGGTACAGTAATATTATTAGTTGATCCAGATATCAGATACAGTCACACTCCATGCCAACCTGTCCTTGTTTTGTTGTCTTATTGTCGACCACCAAGCAGAGAAACAATAAGTACCATCTGTGCATGTGTTTGACAATGTCACCAGGGATAGAACGTACAAATTTACTCTCTCCCCCAATACTCTCCATTCCATATTTGCCTCCTTTTAGTCATTTTGCAGTGTCTCAGTAGGGCATCCAAGTAATAAACTGTGGTCCGGTATCTCCATGGGTTAGAACAACACCAGCATTATCCCATATTAGGACAAGTAGCCTCCACTGGAGGACACATATGAATTTACTTGGTATCCAAGCTAAACTATGTCATGGGGCAGTGGGGTAGCCCAGTGGTTAAAGCGTTTGCTCATCAGATTCAATTCCCACACAATGTGTGAAACCCATTTCTGGTGTCCCCGCTGTGATATTTGTCTTGAACTCACTAAAACCACCTCACTAAGCTATGGCATGTTATCTCAGTAGGCCTTTCATTATAAAGCCAGCTTTAGTCACTAGGACAACCAGTTCCTACCAGCATGTTTGCATTTTACATCTTAGGCCTGGCCAATTTTATTTCTTGTTTTATGAATAAAACTAAATTTTCCCCGCTCGAAAAATAAAATCCCAATGTTAAGATATACGGGAGCGAGACTTCGACTATGCCAAGCAGTTTGTTGGACACTAAAACACCGGTATCTGTTCTCAGAGATTTTAAACTGAAATTATCCAACAATAATTATGTTAGAAATCGGTGCTTCGAGCACCTCAGTGAGTGTGAACTTTAAACAAAATACCTTTGAAAAACTCATAATGGTTTTGGCTTTGGCTGGTGATTTTTTTTCCCCTACTGCCTTTAAGATTTCTGAGGACAAAAATCCATAAAATAAGAAATATTATTGGTCTGGCCTTATATCAGGGCATAAATCTTGAATTTCTGCATCATTTTAAATATATGTCATGACATTTTGGATGACAATAATGAACTGATCTAAAACAGACTGCTGTATTTCAGTACATATTTACACCATTTATAGCTATTAATATGTTGTTCTGTTTTCCATTGTAGCTGAAAACAAAACCTCCAATGCCAATGAACCTATGCCAGAATCCAAGCCAGAACTGAAACCTCAAACCCAGGAATTGGCAACACCTACAAAACCAGAACTGAAACCTCAAACCCAGGAATTGGCAACACCTACAAAACCACCAGAACTGAAACCTCAAACCCAGGAATTGGCAACACCTACAAAAACCAGAACTGAAACCTCAAACCCAGGAATTGGCAACACCTACAAAACCAGAACTGAAACCTCAAACCCAGGAATTGGCAACACCTACAAACCACCAGAACTGAAACCTCAAACCAAGGAATTGGCAACACCTACAAAACCAGAACTGAAATCTCAAACCAAGGAATTGGCAACAACAAACAAACCAGAACCGAAATCTCAAACCAAGGAAATGGCAACACCTACAACACCAGCAGAAAACTCCCAACAACTTGAAGAAGATCTAGTCATGTCAAGTTCACCCAAAATATGCCAGTCCCATCAGTCTCCCATGGAAAGACAACTCCTGAAGCAAAGAAAAATGAGAGTGAGGCAAATGAGAGTTATCTCCCCTTGGAACCTGAATCACAGCGGCGGTTTGACAAAACATTGGGATCTTGTTGTTTGTTGGTGAATCCAAACAGTGTTGTGAATGCAGTAGATAAGAATGTGACAAGGTTACAGCTACATAATGGTTTGCCTCACACATATTCTGTGTATCACTTGCTGAAGAAACTTGAAAATTTACAGGTATGTATGAAAATCATACTTGTTGATTGTGAAGACACTTGTTCAGTAAATAACAACAGCTTTTCATTGACATGAATTACTACTGTAATTTGAAATTTGGTTTGAATTGATCCTTAATTATCCAAAGTGAGTCTATAATTCTGTAGCCCTGTACTGTTCTATGCAGAGGCTGTAGACACAAAAAGAAAACTTGGTTGGCAGTCTTTAGAGAGAGTCAGAGAGACCTTATAATGAGTATTAGACAATTCCAAACTCCAAAGTTTTTTTCTCGTTCTCTCCCTCTCTCTTATCCACTGCCTCACTCCTTCGGTCTTTCAATCCCGCAATCGTTCACTTTCTCACTCCTTCACTCTCTTACCCACTGCCTCACTCCAGTATTTAACTCCCTCAATCCTTCATTCACTCCTTCACCCTCTAACTCCTTCCCTCTCCCACTTTCACTCTCTCAAACTTTCAATCTCTCACTCCTTCACTCACTCCTTCACTGACTGCTCCTTTCACTCCATCACTCTCACTCCTTCACTCTCTCACTCCTTCATTCTCTCACTCACTCACTCCATCACTCTTTCACTCTAACTCCTTCATTCACACCTTCACTCTCACTCACTCCTTCACTCACTCCTTCACTCTTTCACTCTCACTCCTTCATTCACTCACTCACTCCATTCACTCCTTCACTCTTTCACTCACTAACTCCTTCATTCACTCCTTCACTCTTTTACTCACTCACTCACTCCTTCATTCACTCCTTCACTCTCACTCACTCCTTCATTCACTCCTTCACTCTTTTACTCACTCACTCACTCCTTCATTCACTCCTTCACTCTCACTCACTCCTTCATTCACTCCTTCACTCTTTTACTCACTCACTCCTTCATTCACTCCTTCACTCTCACTCACTCCTTCATTCACTCCTTCACTCTTACTCACTCACTCACTCCTTCATTCACTCCTTCACTCTTTCACTCACTCTCACTCCTTCATTCACTCCTTCACTCTTTCACTCACTCACTCACTCCTTCATTCACTCCTTCACTCTTTCACTCACTCACTCACTCCGTCATTCACTCCTTCACTCTCATTCCTTCACTCTAACTTACTCTCTCACTCCTTCCCTCTCTCACTCCTTCACTCTTACTATTTCACTCTCTCAAACTCTCTCCTCCTTCTCTCACTCCTTCACTTCAGAGGCTGTGGGGTAGCCTAGTGGCAAAGCTGTCGCACGCCAAGACCTGGTTCGATTCCCCACATGGGTACAATGTGTGAAGCCCATTTCTGGTGACCCTCGCTGTGATATTGCTGGAATATTGCTAAAAGCGGTGTAAAACCATACTCACTCACTCACTCACTCTCCTTCACTTACACCTTCATTCACTCCTTCACTAACTCACTCTCTCACTAACTCTTTCACTCCTTCCCTCTCTCACTCCACTCACTCACTCCTTCATTCACTCCTTCATTCTCATTCCTCCACTCACTCCTTCATTCACTCGTTCACTCTCAGTCACTAACTCTTTCACTCTCTCAACCATTCACTCACCCACTCACCCACTCAGTCACCCACTTAACCACTCACTCACTCACTCCCCCTCTCACCCACTCACCCACTCACTCACTCACTCCCCCTCTCACCCACTCACTCACTCACTCACTCAACCACTCACCCACTCAACCACTCAACAACCCTCTCAGCAACTAGTTTCTGTTTACAGGTACTGGACCTCTCAGGCAATAATCTTGGTCCCCAGGGTTTCCGCAGTGTCTGTTTGGCGATGTGTTCCAACACATCAGTCGTCAGTCTCAACCTCGCAGACAACAGATCCGACACAGACAGTGCCGTGAGTAGCAGCAATAACTTAAAGCAATGCATGGACTTAGTGGTCTGAAGACAGAAATACACTCTGCTCCCTGCTCCTGCAACACAATCAACAGCTGTTTTGCCCTCTTTGTCAAATTCAATGAATAACTCAGACGATACAACCTTGTCGAATTCTCCACATCAGTTCGTAATTTTTGATCATATGATGTTAAATTGGTGCTATCGTGGTTGGAGCGAAAAAACGTACCCTCACGAACATGGTAAGAGGAAGTTGTACGCGCATGGAATGGGGTAAAATAAGAAAAGCCAGTTTGTTGACATGTGATCGTCCAGCTACAATAAGTATGATATTTAGCGAAACAATATATATTATCCATTTTCTGTCAACTATACTTCATTTTGAGGCGTGAGTAGATGTAATATGATTGCGAATTCTGTGAATAATGTGGACAGAAGCTATAATTATTTGTAACTGTCAGTTGTCTGTGATCTGTGGCCCCATCGTGAGGGGTCGGCTTATGTACGAAACATACCATTTTGATACTGATTTTAAGGGTCAAGTTTTGGGGTCAGCTTCGACCGCCTCCATGGTGTAGTGGTTAGAGCGTTCGCCCAGAAAGCAGAAGGTCGCGGGTTCGATCTACAACCGTGTCATACCAAAATACGTTAAAAGATGGTACTTGTTGGTCCCTGCCTAGCACTCGGCATTAATGGGTACAGCAAGGACTAGTCGGCTCAGAGTCAGTATGTGTGTGAGTGGGGTATTCATTAGTGTTGGGAATTGGTTAAAATCTCATAATTGATGATTGGTTCATTACACCCGATCAATCATTGAAAATAATTGGTTAGCATCATTTATCAAATTTTCCTGGTTATGTTTGTTAATGCACAAAGAATAAAGAAAAATGTAGTTTTTCTGGGTACTTTTTTCAAATGCATGTTGTCATATGAGCGAAATATTCAGAACTATGACGTTAAACCCCATTTCACCTCACCTTGTTCCCTTCAGGAGTGTGTTGGTAGACTGTTGTCTCACAACAAGTCTTTGGTGTACCTGGATGTCTCCAGTAACAATTTGGGCAAGGATTATTTTTCTCGCTGTGTCGGGCCAGCACTCAAGTCCAACTCCACTCTTCAAACTCTGAGGTAGGTAGTTCGAATTCATATATGACATTTTAGAATCTTCTATTCCTGTCTTCAGTAACCCATGCTTGTCATAAGAGGTGACTAACAGGATCGGGTGGTCAGGCTCCCTGACTTGGTTGACACATGTCATCGGTTCCCAGATGCATAGATTGATGCTCATGTTGTTGATCACTGGATTGTCTGGTCCAGACTCGATTATTTACAGACCGCTGCCAAATAGCTGAAATATTGCTGAGTGCGGCATTTAACAACAAACCATTCTGATGGGTCCGAATCTATGTTAGATAGTCCTGTTGACAGTACAACTGCAAACTGAAATAATTACTCAGAACCTCTTCTTATGTGAATTTGCCTGTTTTGAAATTTCATGAAGTGATTTCAGTTCCTTAACATTCCTAGGAGATGTGTTGCAGTTCTTACATAATATACAGCAAATATATATCAGATGAAACCTAGTGTCAGCTATTGCCTCACCACCACAAAACTCACATGGGCAATAACGGGACACAGTCACAGCACTGTGCAAACAAAACAGGAACAGGCTCCGATTAACACCACGATCAACATGATCGAGGTCACTTCCTGTTTAGACACACATGCGAGTGTGTTGTTTACATTGCAGATTTACGAGTCAGGAAACTGCCTCAGTTGTGTATGTCTTGATTTAATGAACAAACCAATAAGAAACATACTTTGTAAAGTTTAATTTTGTATGAATAGTGATTTTTTTATTATCGCTCCACTAATGAAATCAGTAATTTAACAAATTTTATGTTTACCTATGTATTTGGTGTTCTGGTTAGATGCATGCATGTCATAGCTGTCATTGACACAATTGACTTGATGACTTACATTGTACTTGTAGGCCTTTGTGATGTGCATTTATTTCACAGTCTAGGCCTTTGTGATGTGCATTTTTCTGCTTTCAGGGCAAAAAGTATCGGGTCTACGAACATGAAGGTTTTGCTCGACATCCTGGTGGACAACACAACACTGACCAGCATAGATCTCAGCAGTAATGGACTGTCCGATCGGGCGAGTCTTGGCACAGCATTCTCCCACTGGATCAAGGTAGGGGCTAGTCTTGGTACAGCATTCTCCCCTGGATCAAGGTAGGGGCTAGTCTTGGTACAGCATTCTCCCACTGGATCAAGGTAGGGGCTAGTTTTGGCACAGCATTCTCCCACTGGATCAAGGTAGGGGCTAGTCTTGACATAGCATTCTCCCACTGGATCAAGGCAGGGTCCAGTCTTGGCACAGCATTCTCTCACTGGATCAAGGTAGGGTCCAGTCTTGGCACAGCATTCTCCCACTGGATCAAGGTAGGGTCAGTCTTGGCACAGCATTCTCCCACTGGATCAAGGTAGGGGCTAGTCTTGGCACAGCATTCTCCCACTGGATCAAGGTAGGGGCTAGTCTTGGCACAGCATTCTCCCACTGGATCAAGGTAGGGGCCAGTCTTGGCACAGCATTCTCCCACTGGATCAAGGTAGGGTCCAGTCTTGGCACAGCATTCTCTCACTGGATCAAGGTAGGGTCAGTCTTGACACAGCATTCTACCACTGGATCAAGGTAGGGTCAGTCTTGACACAGCATTCTACCACTGGATCAAGGTAGGGGCTAGTCTTGGCACAGCATTCTACCACTGGATCAAGGTAGGGTCCAGTCTTGGCACAGCATTCTCCAACTGGATCAAGGTAGGGGCTAGTCTTGGCACAGCATTCTCCCACTGGATCAAGGTAGGGGCTAGTCTTGGCACAGCATTCTCCCACTGGATCAAGGTAGGGGCTAGTCTTGGCACAGCATTCTCCCACTGGATCAAGGTAGGGGCTAGTCTTGGCACAGCATTCTCCCACTGGATCAAGGTAGGGGCTAGTCTTGGCACAGCATTCTCCCACTGGATCAAGGTAGGGGCTAGTCTTGGCACAGCATTCTCCCACTGGATCAAGGTAGGGGCTAGTCTTGGCACAGCATTCTCCCACTGGATCAAGGTAGGGGCTAGTCTTGGCACAGCATTCTCCCACTGGATCAAGGTAGAGGCTAGTCTTGGCACAGCATTCTCCCACTGGATCAAGGTAGGGGCTAGTCTTGGCACAGCATTCTCCCACTGGATCAAGGTAGGGGCTAGTCTTGGCACAGCATTCTCCCACTGGATCAAGGTAGGGGCTAGTCTTGGCACAGCATTCTCCCACTGGATCAAGGTAGAGGCTAGTCTTGGCACAGCATTCTCCCACTGGATCAAGGTAGGGGCTAGTCTTGGCACAGCATTCTCCCACTAAATCAAGGCAGGGGCTAGTCTTGAGATTCCAGGGCTCGAAGATTCCACTTGTACACTCGTAGTAAAATTTGTTTCGGGCAAGTGAAAAACATAATATGCTCGTCCTACAGAAAGAGTACGTTTTCTGACCCAACTATTTTTGAAAACAATGAGTTGAAGTTTTAACATCGTCATTCCCGATTAGCAGTATTTTCAAATTCCCCAAAAACTAACCGCAAAGTTTAAGTCTTGATGTGCGTTTGGTATCCATTTTTAACAGATATCATGCAGCATGGTTTTGTAACCTAAATGCTTCAATATCGTGATTGGCTGCTGCTATTAATAACTTGACCAATGAGAAAAATCATCACAACATGCATGTTACTGCTGTCAAATCAGAATAAGCTTTATAGCATTGAATACCCAGCTTGTTATTACCGATCGTTTATCGTCGTCAACTTTTCTTTTGGGTGATGATTTGTTTTTATTATTATACATAGGTAATTTCCAGGTTAGATAAAATACTTGATATATTTTACCACGTACACTAAACCGAAAATTAGATTAAACAAACATTTTGTACAGAAGACAAAGTAAGTAATGTTTATTGTAGTTTTATTCCAAGCCAATATTCTGAAATAAAATAATTTTTCCTTATCCTGACTCATGATCTTTGCTTATCTCCCTCTTCTATGCGAATGTTAGTGGAACACTTGAATCCTTTGTAGTTCCCTAAAGCGGACGTAAAAGTACACTCACCCATGAGTTACCTCCCTTTTCCCACGCAAACAGTCATGTGACCAGCTTTACTTGTCACTCTCTCCTTTTCCCCAAGAGGATGGTTGGGCGAGCACTGGAGTCCCGTATACGGCATATATCCTTTATATCTAGATCCTATTTATCGAAATTATGCTGTGTATGGTATTTGGCTATAACTAGCTTGTATTATATGTAAAATTTTGAAGAAATTATTTGTATTTTGTGACATATTTTCATTGTAATGTAACTTGTTTACATTTCATGAAATCTTGCCTTGTTTGCAGGTACCGGCTATCAGTGACTGATCCTCACCCCCAATGCCCGTCATGCATTAAGCCATGTTCTTTCACCTTGCGTTGTACATATTGCATTGGTTTATCAAATTAACAATTTAATCAATACTTGTCTTACATCTATAGACGTGCGATGGATCGGGTGAGGAAGTCATCACAAGTCACGGTTGATAAACCTGGAGATCAAGCCGGTAACCGTATGTTGTTTGCTACCGCTGAGATACATAATTCAAGTGCTATGTCGAGTACGTTGCAGGGGCAGTCTGTTATGGGGTCGAAGAAGAGGTCTGCTACGACGGAGTTGACGCCCTCTCAGAGTAAGAAGAAGACATCTTAATCATCCACAATGCAGAAAAGGGCATCTATAACTAGATCAGTGTCGAAATCAACGTGACCTAGCAAGTCAACTCATCAGAGGTCATTTAATGATGAGATCATCCCACCTCATGAAGCAGACGTGTTTGATGAACCACCGATACTTCTGCGTGAAGTACCTACTAGATCGGCGACGTAGTGGACGACTAGATCGTCTCCTGCAACTACAACAGTGGGCCAGCTGTTTGATGACCAACCACCAACTTCTCAACGTAGTGAAGTTGAAGCACACAACACCTCAGCATTTGCGAACGCGTCGTCTACGCAGCATCAGTTCAAGACAACGCAGAACTTTGATCCAGCATAACCTCATGTTGGCAGGCAATGTTCACAAACCCTCGGACCTGCGCGAACATGATATGCCTCACAGATCTACATTTGAAGACAACGTTCGTGAAGATCATCACAATCAGATGATTCACATCTAGGACTTAGATGGGACTTTATTGCAAAGAATCAACTACCTGGTCAACCAGATAGACAGTTCCATGTACCAGCACTATCTACGATCCTTGGACCAGAGGACACCCAGGAATTATCCTTGTACAGGACGTATCTAAGGACAGCTGATGAATCCAGGAAGTGGCTTGACGCACCACCAACCCGTTGGATTTGTTAAGCAAAAGATCATGAGTCGGGATAAGAAAAAATATGTAATTTTTAAAGTAAAATTGATATTTTATACTTATCCTGACTCATGAGGACAAGCCCACCCAACCTCCCCGCTGGAAACACTTCGGATTTCACAGTAGATCCAGGTGCAGAAAATCAGGAGAGAGTGGCAAGTAAGGCTGGTCACATGACTGTTTGCGTGGGAAAAGGGAGGTAACTCGTGGATGAGTGTACTTTTACGTCCGCTTTAGGGAACTACAAAGGATTCAAGTGTTCCACTAACATTCGCATAGAAGAGGGAGATAAGCAAAGATCATGAGTCAGGATAAGTATAAAATATCAATTTTACTTAAAAAATTACTTTTTTAAAACTTCGGGGGAAAATTAGCTATAAAAAAATAAATTAAGTTCAGAAGTTCAGAATTTGCATATGTTTCTTTCCTTTTCAGATCAGTGAGACTGCCAGCATGTTTACTTGTCAATACCCACGAATATCCGGGTTGGTCTTCAGTAACCCATGCTTGTCATAAGAGACGACTAATGGGATCGGGTGGTCAGGCTCCTGACTTGGTTGACACAGGTCATCGTATCCCAATTGCTCAGATCGATGCTAATGCTGTTGACCACTGGATTGTCTGGTCCAGACTGGATTAATTACAGACCGCAGCCATATAGCTGGAATATTGCTGAGTGTAGTGACAAACAGCAAACAAACAAATAATCTTGTCACTTAAACAAGTCTGACTGAGTTATGATGTAAGGTTAAACAATTTTCATTTCAGAAGCTGGACTGTTGTCTCACGTCTGTCTCACTCAGCAGCTGTGAGATGAACCCTGCCAGCCTGTCTCTCCTGTGTGATGCCATGTCTCACAACACATGTCTCACTGAAATCAATCTCAGTGGCAACGAGGTAATACAGCTGTTTTCACTACTTTCTCAAACTAAATGTTCTCATTTCACTGTCGGTGGTACAGGCAATCACAGTTTGCAATACATGGTTATATCATTTTGACACCTAGAACCTATGCCATGAGTATGTTTTTTGATGTATTTTATTTAAATGTGGGATATTTTTGGAAGATTGCTCAAAGCTGTCCTTACTCAATTACTCATTCACTACATGGCCCAGTTGTGTGACATGAAGATCCGTGTTAGAACTGGTCTTTAGTAACCCATGCTTGTTGTAACCCGTGAAGATCCAGGTTAGAACTGGTCTTCAGTAACCCATGCTTGTTGTAACCCGTGAAGATCCAGGTTAGAACTGGTCTTCAGTAACCCATGCTTGTTGTAACCCGTGAAGATCCGTGTTAGAAGATCAAGGTTAGATTTGTCTTCAGTAACCCATGCTTGTCGTGAAGAGACTCCACTAATGGGATCGGGTGGTTAGGCTCGCTGACTTGGTTGACACATGTCATCGTATCCCAATGCTCAGATCGATGCTCATGCTGTTGACCACTGGATTGTCTGGTCCAGACTGGATTAATTACAGACCGCAGCCATATAGCTGGAATATTGCTGAGTGTAGTGACAAACAGCAAACAAACAAATAAACTTGTCACTTAAACAAGTCTGACTGAGTTGTGATGTAAGGTTAAACAATTTTCATTTCAGAAGCTGGGCTGTTGTCTCACATCTGTCTCACTCAGCAGCTGTGAGATGAACCCTGCCAGCCTGTCTCTCCTGTGTGATGCCATGTCTCACAACACATGTCTCACTGAAATCAATCTCAGTGGCAACGAGGTAATACAGCTGTTTTCACTACTTTCTCAAACTACATGTTCTCATTTCACTGTCGGTGGTACAGGCAATCACAGTTTGCAATACATGGTTATATCATTTTGACACCTAGAACCTATGCCATGAGTATGTTTTTTGATGTATTTTATTTCAATGTGGGATATTTTTGGAAGATTGCTCAAAGCTGTCCTTACTCAATTACTCATTCACTACATGGCCCAGTTGTGTGACATGAAGATCCGTGTTAGAACTGGTCTTTAGTAACCCATGCTTGTTGTAACCCGTGAAGATCCAGGTTAGAACTGGTCTTCAGTAACCCATGCTTGTTGTAACCTGTGAAGATCCAGGTTAGAACTGGTCTTCAGTAACCCATGCTTGTTGTAACCCGTGAAGATCCAGGTTAGAACTGGTCTTCAGTAACCCATGCTTGTTGTAACCTGTGAAGATCCAGGTTAGAATTGGTCTTCAGTAACCCATGCTTGTTGTAACCCGTGAAGATCAAGGTTAGAACTGGTCTTCAGTAACCCATGCTTGTTGTAACCCGTGAAGATCCAGGTTAGAACTGGTATTCAGTAACCCATGCTTGTCGTAACCCGTGAAGATCAAGGTTAGAATTGGTCTTCAGTAACCCATGCTTGTTGTAACCCGTGAAGATCCAGGTTAGAACTGATCTTCATTAACCCATGCTTGTTGTAACCCGTGAAGATCCAGGTTAGAACTGATCTTCATTAACCCAGGCTTGTCGTACCTCATGAAGATCCAGATTAGAACTGGCGTTCAGTAACCCATGCTTGTGGTAATCCGTGAAGATCCAGGTTAGAACTGATCTTCATTAACCCAGGCTTGTCATACTCCGTGAAGATCCGGGTTAGAACTGGTGTTCAGTAGCCCATGCTTGTTGTAACCTGTGAAGATCCAGGTTAGAATTGGTCTTCAGTAACCCATGCTTGTCGTAACCCGTGAAGATCCAGGTTAGAACTGGTATTCAGTAACCCATGCTTGTGGTAATCCGTGAAGATCCAGGTTAGAACTGATCTTCATTAACCCAGGGTTGTCGTACCTCATGAAGATCCAGGTTAGAACTGGTATTCAGTAACCCATGCTTGTCGTAACCCGTGAAGATCAAGGTTAGAACTGGTATTCAGTAACCCATGCTTGTCGTAACCCGTGAAGATCAAGGTTAGAATTGGTCTTCAGTAACCCATGCTTGTTGTAACCCGTGAAGATCCAGGTTAGAACTGATCTTCATTAACCCATGCTTGTCGTACTTCATGAAGATCCAGATTAGAACTGGTGTTCAGTAACCCATGCTTGTGGTAATCTGTGAAGATCCGGGTTAGAACTGATCTTCATTAACCCAGTCTTGTCGTACCTCATGAAGATCCAGGTTAGAACTGGTCTTGAGTAACCCATGCATGTCATAACCTGTGAAGATCCAGGTTAGAACTGGTCTTCAGTAACCCATGCTTGTCGTAACCCATGAAGATCCTGGTTAGATTTGTCTTCAGTAACCCATGCTTGTCGTAACCCATGAAGATCCTGGTTAGATTTGTCTTTAGTAACCCATGCTTGTCGTAAGAGGCGACTAACAGTATTGGGTGGTCAGACTCGCTGACTTGGTTGACACGTGCACATGTCATTGTATCCCAGTTGCGTAGATCGATGCTCTTGCTGTTGATCACTGGATTGTCTGGTCCAGACTTGATTACATACAGGCTGCCGCCATATAGCTGAAATACTGCTGGAATACTGCAACAAACTAACCAACCCAGTTGTCTGATGTGCTACTATACTGACTCACAAAAGCAAGTACACACCTTGTGCTTTGGGGTTATTTTCCGTCAAACAATGTTAATTATTTTCTGAAAAGTGATTGTGATTTACAAGTATTTGTTCCTAAACCAACACAGAAATCATACCCATTTGTTCCTCTCCCAACATTGACGATTTCGGTCGATGTTGACAGATTAATGACATTCCCTCAAATGGTCGATATCCCAGGATGCCTACAACACACTGTTGTCTCATCACTATGATGCAGAGATCCAGCACTGTTGATGCTGATGATGTCACTCTGAGTGTCCAGTAGCGCAGATGGAGAATGCTGGTCATCTTGCTGGGTGGTCACTCTGATGCAGAGATCCAGCACTGGTGATGCTGATGATGTCATCTCGCTGGGTGGTCACTCTTGGTCTTCCAGTTCAGAGACTGTCAGATGCTTGACCAGTCTGGTGGATGAGCCTCATTAGATTGATGATGGTCTACCTTGAACAGACAACACAGTATGGCAGACTAATGCTGAGTCTCTGAATATATATCATTCTGATAGCAACAAATAATCCCATTTAAATTGAAAAGAAACCCCAGTGATATGTGGCGGTGTGTGGTCCTGTGCGGAGAGCTCGGGTCACAATCAGTTGAAGTGAAGCAAAGTTGGTCGCGGACAGTTCTCGGATGGACCCCTGAGTGTTTACTCAAATGGTGTCCACCAGTGAGAGACAGCTGAAACAAAGAACTAGCAGAGTTTCTGACCAATCATCAAACAGTTCAAAGGTCATGTGATGTAGACGACACAACTCAGAAGTGAAGTGATGGGATGGCTTTAACTTTGTCAATGGTACTTTGCTGGAATAAATTAATGTACTTAGTTGAAAATGGCTAAATTATTTATGAAACTGTTAAACTGGAAGCCCAAGAGACCTCGCCACTCCGTGGCTTGTGGCACTACGCATGCAAATTTCCATTATCTATGCGTTTTAGGAACGCAAAACTTTGTTTCCTACCTCAAACACTCTAATTGTGTAATATTCAACACAATAGATCGTTGGTCACAATACTAGTCATTTGATTGTCTGGTCCAGATTTGAGTATTTACAGAAACTCGTCATACAGCTGGAATATTGCTGAGCATGGAAGTACACAAGCAATTTTCCAGCTACTTGATGACTGTCTGGAAACATGGACCAAACAATCCAGTGATCGACAGCACTAGCATTGATGTTAGCCTGATCCCCAGATCCTGTTAGTTATCCCACGCAACACGTTTTGCGGGGGGTATTAAAATGGACTCCGTCAGTCCATGCATATTTGTCTTTTCCGGAGCAGAACTCTAAAACCGTTCAATATTTCTTCCCCAAACTTGGCACATAGATAGATCTGGTGGAGTACTGGTGCCTTTTGGTAGTTTTGGAATTTTGAATAAAACATTTTTTGCGTTTCCATGGCAACAAGTTTGACTTAGAATGAAATTAGTGGTAGTGCTCTTATTTTCCGGAGTTGTCAGTTGCCTCTTACCACTTGCATGGGTTGCTGAAGACCAGTCCTAACCCAGATCCTGTTAGTTGCCTCTTACCACATGCATGGGTTGCTGAAGACCAGTCCTAACCCAGATCCTCAGGGGTCACTATATGATACTTGTGTTGACAGTTCGGCAGTCTCAAGCTCGTGGCAAGGTTCATTGCATCAGCGTGTTCTCAAGGAAAAGTGAGGAATCTCCACATGAACGATGCCAGAGTCCAAGACCAGGTTGTCTCATTACAAGGTCAGTGTCAAACCAGAAGATAATTTAACCTTAGATATCAGGGATGTGATTCGCTTCTACCTCAGCAGCCTCCATTGGTCCTGGAGAACATGTAACCTGTTCAGATCATCTGTCAAATGCTTTGTACAGGTCCATCTGTTGTATACACATGGGACTTTTTATCAAAATCACAGGATACCAAAATACTTGATATCAATATACGCCTGAAATAGCCTGAAAATTTTTGCAAAAAGATATCAATATACGCAGAAGTGACTATATAATGTGTTTCATGTTTAGAGTTAATTGGATTCATACATTGAATTGAAACTTGTGTACTTATGTAATTTAATACATACGTTACTATCCTGACCATTGAGCAAAGGCAGCTTTTCAAAACCGACTGTTCATCAACAAAATAGACTGTCTCAGAAGTGACTAAATAATGTGTTTCATCCTTGATTGGCATTTTAGAAGATGCTATTTGATGAACATAAAGAATTTCCTGGATTTCATCTTCTTTTTATTCTTTGATACAACGTTTCGGGCCTTTTCCGGCCCCATCATCAGGTAAAACTAATGAATAATAAGAACTGTTCACCAATGTGTTTCATGTTTAGAGTTAATTTGATTCTTACACTGAATTAAAACTTGGATACTTGTGGAATTGAATAAATGCATGAAAGGTTCATTTCAACACTGACTGTTCATCAACAAAATAGACTGTGGAGCAGACGGACATTTTAAAGCGCTGCATGTGAGTGTTTGACCTTTCCTCATCCAAAGCATTCATGTCTTCAGACCTGCCCGAGTCACCAGACCCTCAGTCGGTTTCACCAGCGCTGCAAGTCCTGAGTCTACATTCCAGCAACATCGCCAACTCTCTTTTCTCAGTAGTTAGAGAGTGGTCAAAGGGGAGACAACTCCATGTCACGGATCTAGATATCACCAACAACCAGTCACTGACGCCTGACTGTATAGAGGATATCATCAGTATTACTTCAGGTAGCACTAATGTGTGAACAATCATTTGAAGAAAATCTATGTCTGGTTCAAGGAGTTAGTAATCAAAATATAGAAGTTATGTCAATTATATTTGAGATTTGGTGGATGGATGGGGTTGACATTTGGATGACATCACAGGATCACAGAATGATGATCAAACAGTCTGTTATAGCTAGATTGGTAGCTTGTCATTAATGCCTTCATTTTATCACATGTCAAGATTTATGTTAGTGTCCCATTGTCGAAATACTGTAAATCATGAAATTGAAATGGTTCCACTTTTAATAGCGCAATTCTCAGCGAGGACACCAGAAAATCTAAAATGCATTTTGATTAACCTGCCATGTTTAGGATCACCCTGAGTTGGTATTGCCACTATTTTGTCTTTTGACAACATTTATATATGTAATCCGACTTGCAAAGTATTCCAAGTCATCTACCAAGGCCACAACAAACAATGGCTGTACAAGAGAATGAAAAGGTTTCTAACTGATGTGCTCTAAAGTGACTTTAAACAATGGCCAGTGATTATGACCAGTGATAATTGCATTTGGCTTATTTATACTCAAAAGTAGACATGGTCAGACTGAAATGTGTCATTATAATAATAGAACATTCTCAAAACTATTAATGCATAATAATAAAATGTTCGCATTAATTTCATGATTTACAGTAACAGAAATATTAGCAATTGAGTGAGTATGGTTCCACTTTTAGCAATAGTCCAGCAATATCTCAGAAGAGGACACCAGAAAATGGGCTTCATGTATTGTAACCATGTAACCATGTAATCACTAGGCTACCCCACCAACCATCTGAAATATTAGTTAAAGCTTGATCCCACACATGCTGTTTTACAGATTCTTCTGGTCACAGCTCTCTACAGAGGTTTACCTATGGAATGAATAGCTCAGAGACTTTGCCACAGAAGCTGAATATGAGTTCACTCCCTTGCCTTACCTACCTCAACCTGAGAAAAGCTAAGATTTCTCCTGCAAAGATTGTTGAAATATGTGCTGGTTGTCTATCTGGGGAGTCATTGCTGTCTGCGATGGTGTTGGATGGTCTCAAGCTTGCCGGTACAGATGCAGTACCTCAGTTGTGTGGTGAGTGATGATGTAGTTTGGTGTCATTGCCGTCCATGTTGGTGTTAGCCAGCCTCAAGACTGTTTTGATGTGAGACTTTTCAAAATTTCAATACACTGGAATGGGGGTCTGATTCCGTGTCTAGGTTTATTGCCTGAAAGACTCGATTCAAGAGAGGTTGTCGGGTTTTGGAGTGGTTTTGAAGGAGAGGAGTTGGGGCTGTTTGTCCATGAGGAGACTGACATGCTGTGTGTTTAAAATTGAGCAAGCTTAATTACCTACAAGTTCAACCCACACTCAACTGTTTGAAAGTTTGAAATGAACATGCCTTCATGTCACGCTCATGATGCTAAGAAGTATGATTTGACCACCAGGTATAGGAAAGCACCAGATGTGTTGTCCTTGAAACATGTAATAAACTTAGTTCTCTTCTGTAATGGTTTCTGTTCAAAATTGCCACCAGTACCTTGAATGTTGCTGTAACCACAACTTAGAAGGTGATAGGCTTTCATTGTACAAATATGTTTATTACTCACTGTTTAATAAATCTACAGTGTTATTACTCAGTGTGTAATAACATCACATGATGCTGAATGTATGACGTCATAATGGTTTACAGTTATGACGTCACAATGCTAATACCTCTGTCACAATAATATTAGACCTTGCTGTAGACCACACTGTAGGCAGTTTCTATGAACTTATGTTTCACTTGTTTGATACCCAAATCATTAACTTGTTAAATAAAAATGATATTACACAGAAGGCCATTTAGTATCTTCTAAATTACAAAGTACCACCGTCAGTTTTAAAATATTTTCATTTCAAAGACATACTGCTCATGTTGGTCCAGCCATATCTAGTGCCATATGTGTTCACATTTTTCAGGTCACTTGAAACAATCAAAGGTCACAACCTTGAGTTTTGGTGGATGTTCATTGGCAGATAGTGACCTTTCACCCCTCTGTGACCTTATTGGTCAAGGTCATCCAATCCACATGCTCAAACTGTCAGCCAATCGGATCACTGACACAGGAGTCGGGTGTTTGGTGGAGTGTCTTCTAAAGCAGCCGTCACATCCTCTAGGAGTTTTGGATCTCTCCAACAACACGGTGAGATGAATAGATTTTTGCTGCTCTTGCTTTCATCTTAGACATTTGAGAATTGTTGTGTATATGAAATGGAGACAAACATCAGTAATTATCACTTTATTTTGTGATGTCATTGTTGCAATTATTTAAATATTTAACATTTTTAGTCAGTGAAGTAAGTTAAAGAGCAGTGTGTTTTGGAAGACATTGTCTGATTGATGAATTTATAGCATAGTGCGAAATGGTTTGCACAAATCTTCTGATTTTTATCTTCTTTTTTATCAGCAGCATTGCCATCCTTGTGGAAGACCAGCATCACTCTGGCCACCTCGGTCAGATCACTGATAACTGTAGCTCTTTGAACTATGGAATACTAGAAGGGACATTGTCGCTTTGTCGTTGTTGGCCTTACAAAACAAGCAAAATGTGTCAAATTTAACCAACAAGTGACAATGCGACATTTTGGCCAATAGTTGCATTGTTGTGTTGTCACATGTCTAACACTTTCTTTATACATCTTAGATAGGACGACATCGCAACGTATTTGGACCTTGAAAACTGTCACTATGTCATGTTGCCCTTTAGGTTGAATAAGAAAATATTTCTTCAAAGCGCGACAATGCGACAAAAGGCCAAAATGTTACATTGTTGCATTGTCACACTTTGGTTAATTTGGACACTTTTTGATCTTTTGTTTTAAGGTGACAATGCGACAATTTCCCTTGTATTATTCCACAGTTCACAGCTGCGATAAATGTTTTTGTTTGTTTCTTAAGACCACATTCAGCAATATGTAGACAATTCAGTGATTGACGTCATAAGCATTGATCTATACAATGGGTTCTTCAGTGGATCATTATGTTGCATTATGGGTACTTGCTGTATCCATGTTTGGGGTTCTGGGTAAGAATTGGTGCCCAGTTATCCATGCTTGTCATAAGAGGTAAGCAAATAAATCAAGAGCCAGATTTGCATATTTGTTTGACACATGTCACTGTAACCTGACTGAGTGGATTGATGCTCATGATGTTAATCACTGGACTGTCTGGTCCACATTGGATTCTGAACAGTCAAATAGCTTGAATTTTGCTGAGTATAGTATAACCAGGATATTTAGAGTTGAAAACATTATATACATTTTATAAATATTTAAGGAAAATTTGAAGTCAAGTTAAGAAGGGTGAATGTACTGGGAAAGTGCATTGACCAAGCTCTTATTGATTCACTTTTCTTGGGGAATAATAATTTCTCTGAATTGACATAAATGAGGGTGAATGGTTCAAACTGGTGTTTCTACACAATTGGGTGGATGGACATTTGGGATACAGATGGTCAGTTTGGTCAGTTTGACAATAAAGGGACATGCATAGGATCTGAAATGATTTGATTAAGTATCTTCTGGCGCCTACCAGTCTGAGATATTAGTTAGATATGTCAACGTTTGGTTGATGGATGACTTAAGGATAACTAGCAATGTCATTTTATCACTGGAAGAAATTGATGGTACCAAATAAAGTCTCCGAAAGGGACTAATGAAAGTAACTAATTATTAAGATTGGATATGAGTCATTTTTGTATGAGGTAGGACATTATTTCGGGGGGAGGAGCCAAAATTGTCAGAAAATAGTTTTCTCACATGTCGAGGGGAACAGAAGCGACTCTGGGCCCCACCGTTGACTTGAGAGGTTCTCTCTGTATATTGAGAGAATGGCTCAGATGAACTTGTAACTTTAGGAGTTGTACAAGAAACCAACAAGTTCTTCCGTGAGATTTGTGAATATGTGTTGTGTGTAGACCAGGAAAGCTAGAGAATATCTGAGGACCTTTGTGAAAGAACTCATTCCAAAATAAATGGACTTGAACACCATACCGGACTTATGTTTGACTATCCATCTTAGCTACATCATCCCCAGAACCAGAGTGGATAGACAGTTTGCCTAGGGAGAAGGGTATAACACCCGGACACCTTCAGGTAACAATAGCAATAAACAAACCTGGCATGTACCTTGTAATGTGTTGTAAATTCAGATTGGCAACGATGGCGCTACAGCTCTCAGTCAGCTTTACGTTACGAAGACACATCAGTCATCTCTCCACAGTCTAAACCTGGCAGGCAATACTATTCGTGAGTGCCCTAATAACGTACACTTGTGTGCCACATTTGATTATTTAGCAGCTCAATGTTTTCGCACCAATATGAGGTTTACAAAAAGTTTGGGTGCTAAAAGACAAATAAGACATAATGATGTGAATTTGTATGATATGTGAACGATCAAATGAGCGAATGATCAGACAAACAAATGAATATTTTTATTAAAACATTGATACAACTGTCACATAACATTTTCAGCCGCAGAAAATGCATATTACGTACCCCAAGGACGATTCTCTTCAAAGAATTGGAAACCTCTACAAGTTTATCTAAATTGTTTGTGCCTGTTATCAAGGAGTTCTTCATTTGGAGCACTGGCCCCTAGTTTTCAACTTATTTGTAAACACTAACTTGTGAACTGGCAATGTCCTGGCGTTGCAGGTAAAGATGGAGTTACCTCCCTTGTCTCTGTGTTGGGCGGAAGGCGGTGTTTGAAGACACTCTACCTCAATGACCAGCGTGATGCTATAGATGAATCTGACATGGAGGATGTATATGGGAGATTGGCCATAGCGCTTGGTGAGTAGCAAGACATCCCTGGTGTCATGATCCTTGAAACAATCCACCCCTGGTGTCATCCTTGAAATAATGCATCCCTGGTGTCATGATCCTTGAAACAATCCACCTCTGGTGTCATGATCCTTGAAACAATGCATCCCTGGTGTCATGATCTTTAAAATAATGCATCCCTTTTGTCATGATCCTTTAGATAATGCATCCCTGGTATCATGATCCTTAAAATAATGCATTCCTGGTGTCATGATCCTTAAAATAATGCTTTCCTGGTGTCATGATCCTTGAAACAATCCACCCCTGGTGTCATGATCCTTGAAACAATCCACCCCTGGTGTCATGATCCTTGAAATAATGCACTCCTGGTGTCATGATCCTTGAAATAATGCATTCCTGGTGTCATGATCCTTGAAATAATGCATCCCTGGTGTCATGATCCTTGAAATAATGCATCCCTGGTGTCATGATCTTTAAAATAATGCTATTCTTGTCACAATCTCATTAAAAATCCGAATCAGCAGAGTAGCCTAGTGGTTAAAGCATTTGCTCGTCACACCGAAGACCTGGGTTCCATTCCCCACATGGGTACAATGTGTAAAGCCCATTTCCGGGAATAATACTAAACGCCGCGTAAAACTAAACTCACAACACTCACTACCTCAAAACAAGATCAGAAGACTTGGTCATGACCCATAATTTATCACCGAGCCGTGAAGATCCAGGTTAGGATTGATCTTCAGCAACCCATGCTTGCTGTAAGAGGCGACTAATGGGATCGGGTGGTCAGGCTTGCTGACTTGGTTGACACATGTCTGACTGACTGACTGATTGAGTTTGGTTTTACGCCGCTTTTAGCAATATTCCAGCAACATCACGGCGGGGGACACCAGAAATGGGCTTCACACATTGTACCCATGTGGGGATTCAAACCCGGGTCTTCGGCGTGACGAGCCAACGCTTAACCACTAGACTACCCCACCGCCCCTGACACATGTCATCGGTTCCCAATTGTGTAGATTGATGCTCAGACTGTTAGTCACTGGATTGTCTAGTCCAGACTCGATTATTTACAGACCGCCGCCATGTAGCTGGAATAATGCTGAGTCTGACGGTAAACAACAAACCAACCAACCCATGAATTTTCACGAACTTTGGCCAACTAATGAAATGATGGCATACATTGTCCAGTGATAAAGTTTGTATTTTGAATTATAGGCTGACCTTGACATGCTGTTCAAGTTACCTCCCATGTGATCTAATGTTTCCATGGAAACGTTGGTACATTCATGATCAAGATGACACATTCGCATCAATATTAGTCTGTGACTACTATTTTAAACATGCTGAATAATTAAATATTATCACTGCGACTATCGCAAAGTTATTAAAGGATGTGAGTATAATCATCCTAATTGCAGAGATAGATTTGTTGAACCATCCAAAGACCTGTTCAGTTTACACACTGTGTGATATGATGTGATGACTACTATCTCTTACAGATTTGAAAGTGTCCAAAGTGGATGGCAATTTTCAGCCCAACAGCAGTGATCTCCCTTCCTTGCCAGAAAACCTCATGGTAAACCTGAAAAACCTAGGGGGACAGCCAGGTAGGTATTGTAGATCTATCTGTAACAGTGAATTCTTTTTCAGAAGAAGTGCTCCTTGGGGTACATATAAGCATTAAAGTGTCCATTTTAAATACCTACGACATAACAATATTTCAATAAAATATTTTACCAAACAAAAACTCGTTTTGTTTAGTGAGACCACCCCTACAGGGCCCCTCACAGGGCCCCCTACAGCCAAGAGCAGCTAGGTAACTCTGACTGCTTACCTCGTACCTCACTTTTCATGCTGTCGTTGTCTAGAAGGGTTAACACAATTGTGCATGGTCCAGTAGAAGACACTTCTTCGCCTTATCTACGGAAGAGAATGAATGAGAAAGAGTCAAATTCTGTATGTTTGGTTCCTTCTTTTCGCACGGGCGCTAGCTGGAATCTTCGTATGACTTTTTTCATTCATGCTTTGTTGTAACTTTGCCGGCGTGTTACGCTGTTTCCAGTTGAGTGATTTTGTAGCGTGTTCGTTTCGTATCGCTCACAAATGTTGCCCTTTGTTAGTTATGTGCACAATTAGGCTATTGTGCCCTATTGTTGCTTTATGCTCGTATTTAATAGCTTTGCTGTAGCAGTGAAATATCGCCCGTGCGTTGTATTTTTCTGTATTGTTGTGTGCATAGTCTACTATGTTAAACAGTCCTTGCTATTAGTCATAGCACGGTTCTGTTTTTTGCAGTCAAAGGGGTGTGTTACCTGTAGCACTACATTTTCGTCTCAGGATTGCCACCTTTGCGTTGCTTGGCGGAGGAAGCCCATGATGACCAGGGTTGTACCATGTGTCAGGCATTTTCCCCTCGTTCCATCAAGTCGCGACATGCGGACATGATGTTCTACACGTCTTTGCTTCAGTCGAGGGGGGGAACTAATTTGAACTAATCTCCGATCTTTTACAGCAACAAATGGTGTTGGTTCACTTGCTCATATCTGACACGTTGTCTGGTCTCCGTCAGGAGATAAGCGTCTGTCCAGGTACTGGGGGGTGTCCCGTTTCTGTGGCGGGCAGTGTCCCCAACCTTAGCTTATGCTCTGGTGTGGGGATTTCTGTCGGGAGTGCGTCTGCACCGAGTGTCATCTTGGTTGACGGCCACCCCTCCGCTACTGTGCCTACTGCCAGTCCAAGCCTCGGCTCTGGGTCTAGGTCGGTAGTTGGTGCCGGTGCTACGGGTACTGTCCCCGTAGTTTCCGCTACCCCATCACATTTGGCCCCACCGCTTGGCGCCGGCCCCGTTTGGTTTGCCATTGGGGAATCCCATGTGGTGCTCTTCCTCGTCTCGCCACCGTGACTCAGCGTCAAGTCTTGGGTCGGTCGCACCGGGCACCTCGGCTGTGCTCGAACCTCTGTTACTCTCCCTAGACCTCTCGGACGAACCCTCGGAGCTATCTGTAGATACAGAGACTTTGCTCCAGGAGGATGGGTTCGAGGGAGCTATGGAGGAGGATGAGGGTCGGGGAGGGTCTGGTACACCTTCAGTATTGCTCGTTGTGTCCCTGAGGGAGGGAGCCCATTGCCTCCGTCCTGCCTCAGGTTGTCGTCAGTTCTGGCGCCCCCCACCCTGCGGAGTTTCGCCTCCCAGGGGAGGCATTCACTCCTTACTAAGGTGGCAGACTCACGGCTACGCATTTTGCCTTCACTCCTAACTTCACTCCTCAGTGGTACCAGGTCCAGGTTCGACTTGCCCGAGCTGGACCGTCGGTACCTCATGGGTGAGGCTGGTCTATATAATCCCCCAGTGGTAGACGATTGTGTCTATGCGTCGGTTGCCCTGGGGGGTTCATCTGGTAGCTCGCTTGCTTCCGCCAAACAAGGCCATCGGCTTCCCCCATTCGACCCCAACACCACGGCATTCAAGTCTGCATATCGCTCCTTCGAGGAGCAGTACCGCAACGAGGTCCAGAGCCTCAAGGTTATCATCCATTCTGCCTATATCTTGGTATTGCAGAGGCAATTAGTGGATGTGGGCGGGTTTAAGGGAGATGCGTGTCCCTCCACCTTGGCTAAACAGTTGACGGAGGTCCAGTTACATCGGGTGCACGACTCTGTTAGGTCGTCGGCTTTGGCTCTCTGTTGCGAGGTATTCTCCCGCAACGCAACAGGCACTACTGGCGTTGCCATTCCGGATAGGTTCTACCCTGTTCTCCGGTGCAGCTACTGTAGTCCGGGAGGCCGCGGAGGCTGTGTCAACCTTCAAGGACTCTAAGCCCTTGTTGGAACAGCCTCGCTCGTCTTGCTCGCGGCCCCCGGTGCTTGCCTCCACTTATCCTTCTGCCTCGGTGAAGAACCTGTTAAATGGGCTCAGCCTTTTCAGAGGAAGGGGAAGCCAGCACCGGCTTCCCAGCAATAATTCCTCCGAGCTCTTGTCGGTACCAGATCAAGCAGTCGGAGTACTGCCAACTTCTGGCATCCATTGCCTCATGCCAAATATCCTTGTGGGTGGTCGACTTACTCTCTTCCTTCCACACATGCCACAGTGGAAGCGAGACCCACCTCCCTTCTCTGGGATCCGTTGCACTCCCGTGCCGGCTGCCCCGGAGAAGGCGGAGGTGCTCAATGCCGAGGTCCAGTCATCACTTGCTTGAACTGTGTCAAGCATCACTCGCAATAGATGCAACTTTTCGGTGTAGATGCTAACACTGTTGTCAAGCATCACTTGCTTGAACTGTATCAAGCATCACTGGCAATAGATGTGACTTTTCGGTGTAGATGCTAACACTGTTATCAAGCATCACATGCTTGAACTGTGTCAAGCATCACTCACAATAGATGCGACACTTCGATGTCAATGACAACACTGTTATCAAGCATCATTTGCTTGAACTGTGTCAAGCATCACTCGCAATAGATGCGACTTTTCGGTGTAGATGCTAACACTGTTACCAAGCATCACTTGCTTGAACTGTGTCAAGCATCACTCACAATAGATGCGACACTTCGATGTCAATGACAACACTGTTGCCAAGCATCACTTGCTTGAACTGTGTCAAGCATCACTCACAATAGATGCGACTTTTCGATGTCTAGCTAACACTGTTATCAAGCATCACTAGGCTTGAACTGTGTCAAGCATCACTCACAATAGATGCGACAATTCGATGTCAAAGCTAACGCCGTTGTAAAGCATGACTTGCTTGATACCAGTGCTAGCATCAACACCAAAACGTGGCATCTATTGCAATAAAAAAGTTGTCTGTCCATAAAAAGTGTTCTTCTTCATCACACCAGCTTCTCAATGCTACAGAAGTATTATATGTGGTATGATGTGAGTTTGAACTTGATAGTTAGTGCGGTACAAGTATGTCTTCTTTCTATTGTATTTTCTAGAGTATTGATTTTCAGTAACCCATGCTTGTCGTAAGAGGCGACTGACGGGATCGGGTGGTCAGGCTCACTGACTTGGTTGACACATGTCATCGGTTCCCAATTGCGCAGATCGATTCTCATTCTGTTGATAACTGGATTGTCTGGTCCAGACTCGATTATTTACTGACTGACGTCATATAGATGGAATATTGCTGAGTGCGGCGTAAAACTAAACTCACTCACGCTATTGTATTTTCCCTACAGGATCACTTGGGAAGCTATTGCACTCTCGTACTGTTGTAACAGACACTACGCAGGATCTGCTGACTGGGCTCACACTGTCAGGAGTTCTAGAGATGAGTGCTGCACTGAAAGGACTGGGTAAGAAAACCAGCAGGCACGTACAGGCCTACCAAAGAAACCTTTCCCACTGTGCAGAAAAACGCAGTAAAGCCCACATTAATTGTGGGAATAGCAACATAAACATATTACCTCGCTACTGAAACAGTAAAAACTGCAACGAAAGACTATGAAACTTTAACCTCTACTGCGCAAAAAGTATTCAATTTGTCGAAATAAATGCTGTCAATCATTTCATACAAATGGAAAGTAAACTAAACAAGTGTGCACACAAGTATCATGATGACAAATGCCAAATAACACAACAGAAACACTTTAAAAAGGGAACAGAATTTTTGTCCTAGCTGGAAAATGTCAACATGCGGTCGAGACTTCCTCTTCCATGTGCGCATGCGTAAAATCGAAGTTTTTATCCAGTTTTAGTGATTAAAGTTGCCGTTTTTGCTGTTTCTGTAGCGAGGTATTTACTGTTTCAGTAGCGAGGTATTATGTTTATTTCCACGATTAATGTGGGCTTTTCTGCGTTTTACTGCACAGTGGGAAAGTTTTCTTTGGTAGCCCTGGCGTAGCAAGCCAAGTTTTTAGTGTAAGCTCAAAAGTTTGCAAAACTTTATATCTAGATAGAATTGAGGGCTTGCCCAGGCTTTTTTCATAATGGTAGCTACACCCCTGACCAGGAACCTGTCTATGATTCCAAACTAGGTGCCCTCGTGTAAAAGAATGAACTGTTCTTGTTTTCTTAATTACAAGCCTTTAGCAACATATATATCAACATTCCATTCAGTGTAATAACATAAAACTAAGTATTAAAGAATCTGTCTTTTTGAACTCATGAAGATCCGGGTTAGAATTGGTCTTCAGCAACCCATGCTTGTCGTAAGAGGTGACTAACGGGATCGGGTTGCCAGACTCGCTGATTGGTTGACACATGTCATCGGTTCCAGTTGCGTAGATCAATGCTCATACTGATGATCACTGGATTGTATGGTCCAAACTCAATTATTTTCAGCCCTAAAGCTGTAATATTGCTGAGTGCGGCGTAAAACGAAACTCACTCACTCACTGTCTTTTTGATTGGCTGTGTCATCAGTGAAATATGTGTCCCATCTACAAAATCATCTTTTCACAATGTTTGATTTGGTAATGATTGCTGACATATGTTGTAGACTTTCTGCAGACTTGCAGACCCTGTTTTTTGGCCTCTGAGCAGGTCACAGAGAACTGACTGCATCCTTTCAGTATGATTTGGTCCTCGTGGAATTTTCAGCCTGGAATAAGTCCCCAGCAATGCTCAGTGACTTAGTCGGCCCATGTCAATGTTGTTTTCTAGAGGGTTCATTGGACTTTTCTGTGCTTTACGCAGCCTTATATCCCGGTTGATTTAAATGGACACATTGTGACCATTACAAAGCAAAGAGGCCATGTATAGCCACAGATGATGTAGGAACTTAGTGTTATATGTACATTGCTGTTGTGATGCTGATGTACTTTCTGTTTCGGTGTACAGGTTCCTCTGAGTGTGTAATGTCTGTCGAGGAGTGGAATCTCATCACAGGTGCCAACAAGGACAGAGAAGTGCCGTCTTGGCTACAGGTGAGAGAATGAGGAACAGGTGATACATGTTCAGCCATATTGGGGATGTTGTCTAAGTACTTGACTTCTTGGCTACAGTGAGACAATGAGGAGAGGTGATACATCTTCAGACGACTTGACTCTCTTGGCTACAGTGAACAGGTGATACATCTTCAGCCATATTGGGGATGGGGACGTTGTCTAAGTACTTGACTTCACTGTGGTGTGTGGTGCTGTGCATAGAGCCAAAGTCACTCATCGGTGGAAGTTTAGAGTTTCTAGGACTTCATGAAATGTCTTTTTCTGATGCGTTTGATGTGTGACGTTTTTGATTCAATTTCATTGTGGATCATTTCATTTCATGGATCGTTGATCATGATTTCAATCACTGGAATGTCTGGTCCTGATTTGATTATTTACAAGCTGTGTCATGTGGCTATACTAATGATCCATGTGGCATTAAAAAACATAGACACAAATTTGAAGGATTCAGGATTTTGTCATTTTTATTCCTTGTGTCATCCATGGAATGATAATGAGGATTTTTTTTCAGGTTTTACATTTGCGTATAGATCAGTCATTATGTATAAAAACAATGAAATATGTCAAAATTTCTCTGCTATAGGTGGGTGGTGGGGTAACCCAGTGGTTAAAGCACTCACTCGTCACTTGAAGACCCGGGTTCGATTCCCCACATGGCTACAATGTGTGAAGCCCATTTCTGGTGTTCCCTGCCATGACATTGCAGGAATACTGCTAAAAGCATCGTAAAACCATACTCTCTCACTCTGCTATTGATGGACCAGCTCCATAGAGTAATTTACCTTTATTGTTTCCTAACTGGCAGCTTCCAGATCGTCGAGAACGAGCGGTGTACCTGTGTAGTCTCCCTGGCAATGTGTCGGTACAGAAGCTGGAGGGGATGTTGGAGATGGAAGCTGACTGCAATGTGGAGGAGGTGGTGCTCATCAAGGTGCCGGGGATGGGGAGACTGGTTTAACGTAACTGTGATCAGTGTACCAGGTGTATCACGTGTGTCAGCTTGATCATGGAGTCAGCTTGGTGTGGAGGAGGTGCCAGGGATGGGGAGAATGGTTTAACGAACTGCCAAGGTGCCGGGATGGGGAGGACTGGTTTAACAGGGATGGGGAGACTGGTTTAACGTAACTGTGATCAGTGTACCAGGTGTATCATGTGTGTCAGCTTGATGAGGAGGAGGTGGTGCCTCGTCAAGGTGCCGGGATGGGGAGACTGGTTTAACGTAACTGTGATCAGTGTACCAGGTGTATGTGTCAGTGTGTCAGGAGGAGGTTGATGTGGAGGAGGTGGTGTAACCGTGATCAGTGTCAGGTGTCAAGGCGCCGTGGATGGGGAGACTGGTTTAACTGGTAACTGTGATCAGTGTACCAGGTGTATCATGTGTGTCAGCTTGATGTGGAGGAGGAGGTGGTGCCTGGGGCGTTTAACGTGAACTGTGAAGGTGCCGGGATGGGGAGACTGGTTTAACGTAACTGTGATCAGTGTACCAGGTGTATCATGTGTGTCAGCTTGATGTGGAGGAGGTGGTGCTCGTCAAGGTGCCGGGGATGGGGAGACTGGTTTAACGTAACTGTGATCAGTGTACCAGGTGTATCATGTGTGTCAGCTTGATGTGGAGATGAGGTGGTGCTCAGCATCAAGGTGCCGGGGATGGGGAGACTGGTTTAATGTAACTGTGATCAGTGTACCAGGTGTATCATGTGTGTCAGCTTGATGTGGAGGAGAGGTGGTGCCGGGATGGGGAGACTGGTTTAATGTAACTGTGATCAGTGTGCCGGGTCATGGGGAGACTGGTGCTAGATCAAGGTTTAATGTAACTGTGATCAGTGTACCAGGTGTATCATGTGTGTCAGCTTGATGTGGAGGAGGTCAAGGGTGGTGGCTCGGTCAAGGTGCATGTGGGATGGGGAGACTGGTTTAATGTAACTGTGATCTGTGTACCAGGTGTATCATGTGTGTCAGCTTGATGTGTGGAGGAGGTGGTGCTCGCCAAGGTGCCGGGATGGGGAGACTGGTTTAATGTAACTGTGATCAGTGTACCAGGTGTATCATGTGTGTCAGCTTGATGTGGAGGAGGTGGTGCTCGGCCAAGGTGCCAGGGGATGGGGAGACTGGTTTAATGTAACTGTGATCAGTGTACCAGGTGTATCATGTGTGTCAGCTTGATGTGGAGGAGGAACACTTACTACCTGGTGAAACCCCACCAGGACCGTAAATCTATGAATGTTATTTTGGACCAGTGAAGTACAGACAGGACCATAATTATTGTCCACCCACTGGTCCTGTGGTCTAAAGGGAAATTTTGAAAGATTTCTTTCCTGTTAGCCTGAACAGACTCTGAACGTTATATATTATTTTCAGTGGATTTTAGTATTGTTATATTGGCTTCATTGACTCAGCATGCTACTTTACTAGACTTGGCTTCAAGCTGTTGGCTAAAGTTGTTGTTCTTGCCTGAGCAGGATCCAGTGACAAAATCCAACACTGGAGTAGCATGGGTGCTGTTCTCTGATGGAGATTCGTCAAGAAAGCCATTGACTTCTACCGCCAAGGGAGGTAAGTCAAAAATATTGAGTCTTTGATTAACAGATCAGAGCATTGTTGTCGCTTTCACCAGTACTGCAGGATTGTTTTGTGTGGTTTTGGCTGTTGTGGACCAGACAATCAGGTGATCAACATCAAGAGCATCAATCCACGCAATTGGGATACAATAACATGTGTCAACACCAGTCAACGAGCTTGACAACCTGATCCCATTAACGACTGGGATCCGCTACCGCCGAAGCGAGAGAGTGTTAGTTAAGAGAAAGTGTCTAGGATGTTATTTGGTTGTGTTTGTATTTCTGTTGTTGATTAACACAACATTCAGCACACTATAAGAAAGTGGTCTGTAGATAATAAAGTCTACACTGGACAATCCAGTGACTGGACATCATGAGCATCTCTCTGGTACAGGATCTAAAGTGTGGTGGTCATTAGGGGTCACTTATTGAGGGTAAACAACTGGTCATGAGTAGCGATATTCATGGCATTAAAAACATAGACACAAATTTGAAGGATTCAGGATTTTGTCATTTTATTCCTTTGTGTCATCCATGGAATGATAATGAGGATTTTTTTTCAGGTTTTACATTTGCGTATAGATCAGTCATTATGTATAAAAACAATGAAATATGTCAAAATTTCTCTGCTATAGGTGGGGTTGTGGGGTAACCCAGTGGTTAAAGCACTCACTCGTCACCTGAAGACCCGGGTTCGATTCCCCACATGGCTACAATGTGTGAAGCCCATTTCTGGTGTTCCCTGCCATGACATTGCAGGAATACTGCTAAAAGCATCGTAAAACCATACTCTCTCACTCTGCTATTGATGGACCAGCTCCATAGAGTAATTTACCTTTATTGTTTCCTAACTGGCAGCTTCCAGATCGTCGAGAACGAGCGGTGTACCTGTGTAGTCTCCCTGGCAATGTGTCGGTACAGAAGCTGGAGGGGATGTTGGAGATGGAAGCTGACTGCAATGTGGAGGAGGTGGTGCTCATCAAGGTGCCGGGGATGGGGAGACTGGTTTAATGTAACTGTGATCAGTGTACCAGGTGTATCATGTGTGTCAGCTTGATGTGGAGGAGGTGGTGCTCGTCAAGGTGCCGGGGATGGGGAGACTGGTTTAACGTAACTGTGATCAGTGTACCAGGTGTATCATGTGTGTCAGCTTGATGTGGAGGAGGTGGTCCTCGTCAAGGTGCCGGGGATGGGGAGACTGGTTTAATGTAACTGTGATCAGTGTACCAGGTGTATCATGTGTGTCAGCTTGATGTGGAGGAGGTGGTCCTCGCCATGAGGTGCCGGGATGGGGAGACTGGTTTAATGTAACTGTGATCAGTGTACCAGGTGTATCATGTGTGTCAGCTTGATGTGGAGGGGAGGTGGTCCTCGTCAAGGTGCCGGGATGGGGAGACTGGTTTAATGTAACTGTGATCAGTGTACCAGGTGTATCATGTGTGTCAGCTTGATGTGGAGGAGGTGGTCCTCGTCGAGGTGCCGGGGATGGGGAGACTGGTTTAATGTAACTGTGATCAGTGTACCAGGTGTATCATGTGTGTCAGCTTGATGTGGAGGAGGTGCTCGTCAAGGTGCCGGGGATGGGGAGACTGGTTTAACGTAACTGTGATCAGTGTACCAGGTGTATCATGTGTGTCAGCTTGATGTGGAGGAGGTGGTGCCTCGTCGAGGTGCCGGGGATGGGGAGACTGGTTTAATGTAACTGTGATCAGTGTACCAGGTGTATCATGTGTGTCAGCTTGATGTGGAGGAGGAAGTAACGCACTTCTTCTTATTTTACCAATTTGTCGAAACCCCCAATCATGGGGCAAACAAACCAAGAAACATCACCAGGGCTAACCAGGATTCGAACACATACTGGTAACAGGACCATTAAGCAGGGCCAGGGTTTAAGGCATTGCTCAACATTGCTTTGTAAGAATATCACTGAAGTCAACAAAATAAACTTAAAACAACATTTTATTTCCCTGATTGTCTCATGAGAAAACAGGATCTAGTTCTAACAAGATTGTCCCTGATTTGGCTGCCAGCTTTTAGCTGGAAATCGTGAACAAAAACTATGAAATGAAGGAAAGTTATCAGTCTGCTCCAATAACTTTTAGTTGTTAGCCCAGTGTGCGAAATTTATGCTGGTCCTGTGGTCCTTGGCTAGTAAAAATTCATCAGGACCACTAACTGATAAGTTTGCTGTGGTCCTGGTGACCAGTGAATTTTGTATTGATTGTAAATCTATGAATGTTATTTTGGACCAGTGAAGTACAGACAGGACCATAATTATTGTCCACCCACTGGTCCTGTGGTCTAGTGGGAAATTTTGAAAGATTTCTTTCCCTGTTAGCCTGAACAGACTCTGAACATTATTTTCAGTGGATTTTAGTATTGTTATATTGGCTTTCATTGACTCAGCATGCTTTTACTAGACTCTGGCTTCAGGCTGTTGGCTAAAGTTGTTGTTCTTGCCTGAGCAGGATCCAGTGACAAAATCCAACACTGGAGTAGCATGGGTGCTGTTCTCTGATGGAGATTCCGTCAGGAAAGCCATTGACTTCTACCGTCAAGGGGAGGTAAGTCAAAATATTGAGTCTTTGATTAACAGATCAGAGCATTGTTGTCGCTTTCACCAGTACTGCAGGATTGTTTTGTGTGGTTTGGTTGTTGTGGACCAGACAATCAGGTGATCAACATCAAGAGCATCAATCCACGCAATTGGGATACAATAACATGTGTCAACACCAGTCAACGAGCTTGACAACCTGATCCCATTAACGACTGGGATCCGGCTACTGCCGATGAGAGAGTGTTAGTTAAGAGAAAGTGTCTAGGATGTTATTTGGTTGTGTTTGGTATTTCTGTTGTTGATTAACACAACATTCAGCACACTATAAGAAAGTGGTCTGTAGATAATAAAGTCTACACTGGACAATCCAGTGACTGACATCATGAGCATCTCTCTACAGTGGGATCTAAAGTGGTGGTCATTAGGGGTCACTATTGAGGGGTAAACAACTATTGCGATAGCGATAGTCTATTGCAACATACTATTGCAATATTTTGTTTCTCCTTGAATTGTCTCATTTGAAGTCATTTTCCAAATGAATGTATACTTTGTATGAAATAAAAACAAGTAGTTTCGGTCTCTTTTAATAACTGACAAGAAACTTGAAGGTTGTTTAAGAGATAACAGGGGCCGAAAACTCTAAATCAAAGTGAACGAATCTCGTACTTCGTGTATTTTGCGCCGCTGCGCATTTATCAACGGAAGTCAAGTACTAAACTATCGATAGCCACACATACTATCGATGCATTGATAGTTTTTCGCTTTTACCACCGATTAATAGCTATCGGAGACTCAACAGTTGCAATCCATCAATAGTTGGATGCATCGTTACAGCCCTAGTGGTGATGTAACCTGATTTGTATGTTATCTTGATAGGTCACACATGGCCTCCGAGGCCTTGCATGATCTGCTGTGATGCCCATCTGTTGCACACAGGGCTCTGACTGTGTATTGTGTGACAACTACAGCCAAGGACATTGTCCAGCATTACACGGTGGTGGTGGGGTAGCCTAGTGGTTAAAGTGTTCGCTCATCATGCCGAAGGCCCAGGTTCCATTCCCCATATGGGTACAATGTGTGAAGCCCATTTCTGGTGTCCTCGCTGTGATATTCTGGAATATTGCTAAAAGCGGCGTAAAACTAAACTTACTCACTCACTTCAGCATTAAGTCTTCCCATGGTGCACTCATATTGAGGATTTGTGAATTGTGTCATACTGGATGTTTTATTAAATTTGATATTTGCTTTTTTCACTGCACATGATTGTTGTGTTTCACGTTGTTTTTACACTTAGTGACCACGTTTTTCTTGACAAGACCATTTTTAATCAGACTACATACGTACAGCACAACAAGAAACTCTTAATTATTACCAATAGTGTGGATGTTGAGTTTGTGGTGAGTATATTATTATTCATCTAAAAGAACAGCTTGCCACCATTCACTGTTCCATCGCTTATCAATTATGTGTCACTGTCTTTATATTCGGATATCGATTACTTTGCAGGCGAAAATATTTGGTCAACCATTTTCCATCTCTCGGATATGTGTGAAGATTGATGATGAGATGAACTCTGACCTTGAAGCAAAAGCCAGGTAGGGAACCGGATTGAATTACACAAGGGTCAAGATACATGGGTACAATGTGTGAAGCCAATTTCTGGTGTCCCTTGCCGTGATATTGCTGGAATATTGCTAAAAGTGTCGAAAAATCATACTCACTCACTCACTCACTCTCTGAGGCGGTGGGATAGCCTAGTGGTTAAAGCGTTTGACTTGTCACGTCGAAGACCCGGGTTCGAATCCCCACATGGATACAATGTGTGAAGCCCATTTCTGGTGTCCCCCGCCTTGATGTTGCTGGAATATTGCTAAAAGTTGCGTAAAACCAGAACTCAGTCACTCACTCACTCACTCACTCACTCTCTTGGTGGGGATGTGGTAGCCTAGTGGTTAAAGCATGCATTTCTCATGCTGAAGATCCAGGTTCGATTCCCAACATGGATATTATGTGTGAACCCATTTCTGGTGTCCCTGCTATGGTATTGCTGGAATATTGCTAAAAGTGGCGTAAAACTAACTCACTCACTCTCCTTCCAGACAGGACCAGGAGACCCGCGTCAAGGCCCGTCGTGCTGAGGATGCTGCTCACCGGGCCCTCATACAACAGAACACAGAGGAGTCATGGAAACGCCACGCCTACCGCCTCGCTCACCCGGCATACGCTGACGGCAGGATTTGGTGAACGGGTCCGAGAATGGCGGAAACACTGCTCCTCCTGCATGACATTTTGAAGGCAGGATGTGATGATGTGGTTGTTACAACAACGTCCAGAGTAGGACATGGCTCACATGGACAGAACAACAAGATGGAGCCACCTCTGAAGGGTTATACTGCTTATTTACTCTACACAGCTGAAGGAAAGTCAGTCCTGTTAGTCTTGAAGTGTCGGGCGTTATACCCTTCCAGATAGCCACTTAGTCTGACCACTCCACTGGTCTGGGATGATGTAAATCAAGATTTTGTTATTCAATGTTAACACTGGTGTGTCGTTCAAGTCCCTTTCCGGTGTCCCCAGCCGTGATATTGCTGGAATATTGCTAAAAGCGGCGTAAAACCCAACTCACTCACCCATACTGCCTAGCAATCCCTGCAATGCTAAAGCCCTATATGAAGCAATTCTAAATTTCCTTAGAATCCCCCTGGGTCTCCTTTTCAAATTAAATGGATTATTTGTTACGATCAAAATTATATTAAAAATAAATTATATATATATTCAGAGACTAAGCATTAGCCTAGATGTCATTTGGCAGTAGAGATTGTTTTAAGTTTGTGTGTACAGTCCGTTTGAGTCAGAAACGGACCGATGAATTGCAAATTTTATCATTGTACAAAATTGCCACATAAATATAAATAGTACACATGTTTATCATTTACTAATACCCAACAGCCTTCTTATATTTGAAAATTTTCCGGACTCCACCAAAAAAGTTCTTTAAGAAACTATCATTAAAATTTTGACACAGTTCACTATTTGTTACGAGGGAGGAGTGCAGAGAAAGGGACAGCCAGGTTAATGAATCAATAACTTGGTGGGCACTTGTGCACGTGCTTCTCTAACACCTGGCTGTCCCTTTCTCTGCACTCCTCCCTCGTAACAAATAGTGAACTGTGTCAAAATTTTAATGATAGTTTCTTAAAGAACTTTTTTGGTGGAGTCCGGAAAATTTTCAAATATAAGAAAGCTGTTGGGTATTAGTAAACGATAAACATGTGTACTATTTATATTTATGTGGCAATTTTGTACAATGATAAAAATTTGCAATTCATCGGTCCGTTTCGGACTCAAACGGACTGTACATGTAGTTAATTGCAAAGACAGCAAATGATTGAAGTGTCAGTAAAATATCAAACACTGTTGTGGTAATATTGTACACAGTTCTTATGACAATATTTTTATATCTGTGAAGAACAAACATCCACCCATGTTTAACCTTTTGTTCTGACTGTATGATAACATAGAGTTATTCATCTAACATTCCAAGTAAGTCCATTGACGCTGTACCAGCTATCACTTGTTATGGCAACAGTGTTTCGGCGCCAGGCATCTTCAGCCTGTCATCCCCTAATTCAATAAGTCCACTTTGAAAAGGACAGGTGGGAAATTGGTTCTCAATGAGTTTGACTGATTCATAGAATTGAGAATGAATCTTATTAAAATGGGATGATAATGTAGTGTGACCTTTCAGTCATAAGGTAACAAGGACGAGTTAAGGTGTCACATAAACTCATGACAATTTTGAGACCCATGAAGGTCCGGGTTAGAGTGAACTCCCCCAGTAAGCGATGCTTATCGTAAGAGGTGGAGGCTTGCTGGCTTGGTTGACATATGTCATCGGTTCCCAATTGCGCAGATCGATGCTCATGCTGTTGATCACTGGATTGTCTGATCCAGACTCGATTATTTACAGACCGCCGCCATATAGCTGGAATATTGCTGAGTGCGGCATAAAACTAAACTCACTCACTCATGACAAGTTTGAACTGAAATCGATGCGGAATGTTCTTAAAGAAATTATATTTCTGCAGCCAAAACATGGTTTTTTTCTGGTTTTACTGAGATTCTCTCGTTATTCTCTGTGATATGTGAAATGTATTGCCAAAATAGTTAATATATTAATTGTTACTGTTTAAAATATTATTGAAATATTTTATCATTGTTGTGGTATATATTGTTGAAGCATTTATGTTATCCTACTCAAAGCAAGTTGAGGAACACCCACCATTTGAAATCTGAAGTCCTCCACCCAATAGAGCTTCAATTAAAAAATGTGTTATCTTACCTTCATGTAAAATACTTTAATTTCATTGGTCAATGATAAGTATCCATGTCACCCCTTTCCACAAGGCGACAACTGGTAAAAATATTAACGGTACTAGTAACCGCCAAACTCTCCGACAAGAAGCTGTGTCACGTATGACGTCATAATATGGCGCATGCAGTGCACTGAATTGGAAAACCATTCGATCACTGTTTTTTTAGATCACTATGTACACATTTATTTTACCGACTTTCACTGCTTTATTTAAACTGTTTTATACATTGCATCGTTTGCACACTCAACTTAAACATAATTAACCATTTTTAAAGCAGTTTTAAGCTTGTCAGAATATGTTTCACTGATTTTAAAAATCCAGTCGCGAGGCAGACGCCATTTTGTTTACATGTCATATAGTCGGTAACGACCTTATCGTTTTTCAAAATAAAACAAAATGATAGATTTTGTACATTTAACATGGCGGTAAGATAAATAGGTTGTAAAGGGCTCCCTCGGGGAACATGTTGTCTGCCTTTTGGTAACAGTGTTACCTCTCGATTGCCGACACTGCTACAAAAAGGTATACATCAGACCGTATTAACCTTGAGAGAAGCATACAACCTATAATGTTCTCCACTTGTTTTGAGAAGTATAGACCAGTATTACTCAAATCAAAGCATGCTTAAAATATTCTATATTTGATATGGCTTCCTGAATCTTTTATTCAATGTATGACACCAGACACGAAGAACTTGTGACATTTTACAACTGTTACAGAATACGTTTCTGATATGTGATGACATTGTTATTTAAAACTGTTCATTTTCGCGAGTTTGTTTTGTATCTGTTTCAGTGAATGAAGAAAAGATTTCATGGACATTTTATTTGCTTCATTTTTATCATATTCACAACATACTTCTTTCCTTGTGCTTGACTGGAGGGGACATAGTTACAAATCTACACTGAATAAGCACAAAGAAAACATAACAGGTGTAGCCAGTGGGCGTGATGAATTGTGAATCAATTTACGACCTCATCAAACGGGCAGTCTGTGACGTCTTAGTTAAGGTCATGCTGCCTACACCTCGCCATAAAATATAGAAATACGATGTTATTAAAGTTTAAAATTAAAATTAACTTGTAAATACCATTTATGAAACAAGGAATTGGAATTCAGTGTAACCATAGTTCTTTGTAGTGTCTCTTTTCACTTTCACACGAGAAATTCGGATCGGCAGAAAAGTAGGTCATTGTCTGAATTGGTTAATGAGACTCGTGTTTCGGTTTGCTGCCACGGAAATCATTCAGCCTTTTCTAGGGATTGTCCCATTTGGAAAAAGCAGATGGAGATCAACAGGATTAAATTCACCAATAATATCAGTTTTACTGAGGACAAAAAGTTGAAACAGTCAACTTGAACTACTGACACATATGCATCCGTCGCCAGGAAACCATCAGAAACAACCCCAAAAGAAAATGCTTTACCAGTAATTACTGCGTCACATGCCTGTCAAACAGGCTTGACATGGATAAACACGGACACAAATATTGAGTGCAGCGTTAAACAGAACAGATATTCTTTTGTTGGTCAAACAGCTCTCAGGGTTTTCCGAAGTTTTGCTGCTAAACGAACTGGCGGCCTGTTGAATTTAAGAAATGTTTAGGATAGTGCGCATCAGTGCTTGGGGAGGTAGGTCCTTCCGTCAGAATCCGAAGTTTTCCCACGTACTTTATATCTGTTATCCTATGTCTCATGTTTGTCAACATGCATCTTTTTGTCTGAGTGAGAAACGCTACATTCCATACACTCCATACAGTGTGTGAAATCGTTTCCAAATTTTGTTAGCCAGTCAGGCTGGCTATGCCTGAAAGTTACTAGTCCACCAAATAATTCACCAGCCTGAAATTTGAATGTAGAAACAAAGCAAAAGATTGCAAAAAGGTAAAATACCATCAAAAACAAAAAAAGTCTGAAATATTTGGTTTCGGCTCAAATAAGTCATCATTAAACTGCTAAAATGATGAACATTTTTATCAGACCATAATCTTGCATGATTTAAAAGTGTATAATAACTTACCAAGTCGGAGAGAGTGATATACATGTATTTACAAAATGACCCCCTGAAACTTCACTAGCCAGTCGGGCCAGTGACTATGGAGATTTACTGGCCCGACTGGATTATTACTAGCCACGGGCTAGCGGTCCAAAATAACTTCATCTTATTGTGATTATAATTCTCAGTTTAAATCGCTTTTTCATGTTGAAACATATTTATCTTATCAACAGGAGAAATATGTTTCAGTGTAATCAGTTGAATGCTAAATGTATGTCTGCCATGCAAAGAATTGGCAAAAGGAACACCTCTGTGTACTCTGGCATTCTGAACATAGAAAATGAACAACATATATGACTGATATGCATCTGCTATTGCCAGACGAGATGAGGATGGTTTGCAACCGTCTCATCCATTCACAAGTAAATGGGACCTTTGCAAGATTTATGTCAATCGACAATATCAGTAATAAGCTGAGAGGCAAATGAAACTCTACCGAGTTGTCTTCTTAGGTAATTGCAAAATGAAAGCGCTGTGGTTAAATTATGTATATTAAACCATCTCTCATTAAAGCAAGAGAAACAAATCATCTCAGTATATGGTGGGTACAGGCAAATTGGTTAAATGAAAACTGGTGAGAGAAATGAATTGGAAACCACATGACCCACACCATGTTGTTAATGTTGTAAAGAGTGTGTAAGAGACCCTTGAAGATCCGGGTTAGAATTGGTCTTCAGCAGCCCATGCTTTTCTTAAGAGGCGACTACCGGGATCGGGTGGTCGGGCTCGCTGACTTGGTTGACACTCGTATACCAGTTCCTATCGATGCTCATGCTGTTGATCACTGGATTATCCAGACTCGATTATTGACATACCGCCGCCACATAGCTGGAATATTACTGAGTGTGGCGTTGAACAAAAAAAATATAAGTGTAGGACGAAATGATATATATCAAAATAAAACCCCGTAAAAGCATTCTTTAAATTCTACAGCATATAAACTTTGTACTACAAACTTACTACAGTATCTAACGTTGTGCTACATAACTTTCTACAGTATCTAAACGTTGTTCTACATAACTTTCTACAGTATCTAAACGTTGTACTACATAACTTTCTACAGTATCTAAACGTTGTACTACATAACTTTCTACAGTATCTAAACGTTGTACTGCATAACTTTCTACAGCATCTAAACGTTGTACTACATAACTTTCTACAGTATCTAAACGTTGTACTACATAACTTTCTTCAGTATCTACAGCATCTAACGTTTGCTACTACATAACTTTCTACAGTATCTAAACGTTGTACTACATAACTTTCTACAGTATCTAAACGTTGTACTACATAACTTTCTACAGTATCTAAACGTTGTACTACATAACTTTCTACAGTATCTAAACGTTGTACTACTACATAACTTTCTACAGTATCTAAACGTTGTACTACATAACTTTCT